TATGTTTATAATACAAGCCTACTTATTATTATTTCTAATAATATGCCCAATCCTATCACTACTCCCCCCCTAAACAACCACCTTGTCCTCAAGGTGGGTGATAGGAATCAGCCATGATTTTCCACTTCCACTTTATTCTTGCACCTCTTCCCTCCCAGTACTTGACTGATTGCGGGACTAGGAATTTGAATACCAAATCGTTTGATATCACAGACATTTCCCCAGCATAAGATGTATCTAATGAAGGTTCATTCTCTTCAGTAACTTTCAAGCACTCAATCACAACACAACACATGTTTCTGTACTCGATGCAAACTTTTCTTTGTATCTTTCAGCTTCTTCCTCTTTCCATTCTTGGCCTATCTCATGTGAAAAAGAAGGCATAAAAGGTTTTAGCAAGCAAGCCAGGAGATCCCCTATACCAGCAGGAGTTCTCTCAAGTATGGAACAGGAATTCCTATCTTCAATGTAAGAATCCCACAGTTGATTTTCTTGCAGAAATTCTAGATACCATTCAACCCCTTCAACTGTCAACACTGCAGCAGTTCTCATAACTATGGAACATGAAAGCATATCTTCCATATAAAGCTTGCAAAAGTGGTCTGCTTGCATGCAATCATTTCCTTCATCCGAAAAAGATATGGTCATTGTTAATTCCTTCTGTTCTGACAACCTTATCGGTCTTGTACTGCAGTTGACTCGTCTTGCTGTAGGAATAGAACTGACCTCTCTGCATTTAACAACTTGCTCAACATGATACCTTGAGTTTATTGCAGAGCTAGGATCTACTCCAAACTCAGACCGTGGACCCAAACCTTGCCCTCCATTGTAGATTGGAACAAAGCAACCCTGGTTTTCAATCTTCATCCCTCCCCGTTTCATTCCCCTAGCAATTTCAGCAGCCTTTCTGGCATCAATAGTGGTTTTCGAGACAGCATAGATTGCTGCAGATTCTTTCTTTTCATCACATTGGCATTCTGATAGTGGCCTCCTGTCAACCAACACTTTACAATTCTCAAAGTAGCGACCTAACTGTTGGTTTGGAATTTCCAGAACCTCAACAACTTTATCCCCAGAACATAAACACGTCTCATGCTCTGCATACTTATTCAGAATGTTCCCCTCACCTATTTTCTCAATGTCCTCATCCATTGGCTTCAAATCAATCTTCGTTATAGCAGGATTTGTCTTGTAAAACTTCAACAACCAACAAAAATGGTGCACGACAGCTCTGCCATGCGATTTCAGATTCTCTAACCGCCAAAGTCCCAGGTCTTGGAAGTTTTCTTCTTTCCTATCCCCTATACGAGAGCCAATAGCTCTTGCTTCAGGATATAACCCAAGCCCTTGGGTTTCAGTTGCTTCATTCTTTGAAATTGTAGCATCTGACATGTATTTCCTTCTATTTCTTTCAGAAAAAGTGCAATCACTGGAAGGTCCTCCTGAAAAAATGGCATGTGATTCACCTTTAGGTTCAGCAGCATCTGATGCCTTTTTCTCGCTTTCATCACCGCCCTTGGTATCCTTCTCTGCATTTTCTCTAACAAAAGAAGCACTCCTACCATCAAAGGATGGTTGCTGCTCCCTCACAGACTCCTGTAGGACTGTTGATGCCTGGGAACTGGAAGCTATTGTTCGCGACAAAGCTGAAACAGTTTGCGATGACATCTGTGAACGGGAAGCTTCTCTCGATAGAGTCTTACTTGGTTGTGAACTGCTGGTGGATGATGAAGTTCGTGATTTCGAACTGTGAGAAGAAATCAACTCAGGTTGAAATCTGCGAATGATAGATTTTTTTAGAGTGTCCCAATTAGTTTCTTCAGTCTTGTATTCCCACGAATGAAACCAAGTCAAAGCCCTATCTTTCATAGCAACCCTAGAAACTTCAACCTTTTCTTCCTCTTCAATGTCATTTAGTCGAAAATACCTCTCTATTTGTATAATCCAGTTATTGGCTCCTTCACCATTGGTAAATCTACCTTTCTACCAGAATACACAGGTACTCTCATTTGTTCATCACTACGTCGATGACCATGGACATTTGAGTAAGCGGAATTACCTCTGTAAACAACAGGACTGTTCGAAGTTCGCATCTGCTGTGGCGGAGGTGTTCGCGACTTTCTTCTGCTTAGAGAAGTGCGATGAAAAGCGCGATGCGAATTGTGCAACGTAAGTTGTGCGCTTAGCGAGGACCCCTGCGACCTGCGCGAATCTGTTAGCGATTGTGAACTAAGAGTAATTGTTCGCGTATGAGGTTGTTGCGATGTTCGCGATCTTCCCCTGCTATGAAGTTGTTCATTCCTCGTCGCCATTTTCGCTGCTATGTTTTTTTTTTTGCGTAGATTTCATCTCCTGATAATTGTGTTCCAGTGTTTCCAGTCGGTTCTCCATTTTTTCCATCGCTCTAACCATTCACAACTTGCGACGAAAATTTCTGGAAATCTGAGTAAGTTTCCGATCAAAGCTACGATCACCAGGAATGTAATGCTCTGATACCAATGATAGATACTGACAATTTCTAGATTCTTGAATTAACCAGACAATCAAGAATGGAGCAGATCAATCAAGAAAACTGAATGTTTATTAACAGAAGGAAGAGTATAGTAATAGTTCTGAGCAAATTCGAGAGTGTCAGAGCTCTCCAAAGTTCTCTTTTCTAATTCAATAACAGTCTACCATTCTTAGACTCCCCACTTCTATTTATAGTACTTATGTTTATAATACAAGCCTACTTATTATTATTTCTAATAATATGCCCAATCCTATCAGATTCAACCTCAAATAATTCAGAAGTGTTATCTGAAGTTGAGTATGTTTCTTTCACAGCCTCCCAGATCTCTTGAGCTGTTTTGTATAGTAGGAAATTTTCTCCTATACTGGTTGTCATGGAATTGATGAGCCATGACATCACAGTATAATTCTCCTTTTTCCACTTCTTGTAGCCTGGATCTCCTTGATCTGGAGCAGGTGCATCACCTGTCAAATAGTCCTCCTTGTCTTTTCCACACACATACATCATAACGGACTGAGACCATTGTAGATAATTACTACCATTCAGTTTATGGCAAGTAATAATCGAATCTGACTGATTAGGAGTGGTGACTGTGCTTCCATTGATATTCTGGTTGCTGCCATCTCCGGTTGGGACAACCTCTGAATGTTCAGAGGTGACTGGGATAGATCCATCTCTCTCGGTGGTCATCCCATAGGATCCGAACTTAATCATTTTAGAGAATAACCTGGCTCTGATACCATGTAGAAATAACTTGAGAAAGTAAAATGTATTTTATTTCTCTTATTCTGTGTAATACAATGAGATGAATACAGAATATATATAGCTAGAGAAAAGTGGAATAAGGAAGGAATCCTCCTAATTAAGATTCCTTAATAAAGACAAGATAATTGGGGATATTTAGAGATTCTGAGATCTCTAAGATATCTCCTCATAAATGCTAAATCGGATGAGTAATTATCTGTAATAATCTACAATTTTAGAACCTTGAGTTCTAGCCACAAGAGCTGCAGATGTAACAGGGTCTCCAATACTAGTAGGTGACTCTGTATAATCCGTACCTATAAAGTTTTCAGGAATCACTTGGTTCTCCAATTCATAACCAGCAATTTTATCAACGGCAGATTCATATACCTTGGAAATCCAGGATTGAGTCACCACAGAAAATTTCTCCTCTCGTTCCTCGTCACCAATGGTGAACGTATCTTCATATGAGGGCTGTCCCTGACTCACAGACTGCTGCGGGATTGAAACTGACTCAACTTGCCCAATGTGAGAAGCAGAAATATGCGATGAAATCTGCGAACAAAGTAGATCAGTTTGCGGCGACGCTGGTAGAGCTGTGAATGACGAAGCTTGCGACTTGAAACCTCCTGTTGACCTCGCCTCACTTGGAGGAGAACTGAGAGAAACTGTCCACGACACCATCTGCGAACAGGGAACATCTGCTCGCTTCAACACCTGCATACTGGAATATGCTGCTTGCGACGAACTGTGAGGATTGACGATCGACGTTGATGAAACTGTGCTTCCAGAGTTCCTACAACGTTTCACGGTTCTGGAACGTCCTCTAGGTCGCGGGCGATTTTGGTCCTTCAGCCGGTTACATAGGTCGATCAAACTCGTTTGCGCCTCAGCCATCGTCCTGACTATCCGCGATCGAGTCTCAGCAAGTCAGTTCCAATTTCTCCATTCGCTGCTCCATCAGTACTCTGGTGATGATCCGATTCAGTCTGTGTCTCCAGGAGAGTGAGTGCTCTGATACCAATGATAGGAACCGGTAAAATTGGGCGTATATAGAGAAAGAAGAGAACGGAAAAGAAAGAGATACAGGCGAGACACTTCGAGCAGTCCCCTCTCCCAAGTCTAATTCCCAAATTTCTGCCTGCCTTCTTCTTACTCCCTACCTTCTATTTATACCCTTACTTATGGGCCGCCCAAAGTTAACTAATACCAGGCTCAGGACCCTCTAATACACTATCACAAAATATTATTATTATAATAATATTCTAATTATTATTTTCTTCAGCCTAGAATCCTATCAAATCCCCACCTCATCCCTATATAATCTCATAATGAGGATTCCAGAACAATTACAAGTGTCTATATTTCTCCTTCTTCGTATTACTCTGTTTGTCCTCGTAAAAAGTTCTAGCTTGACTTTCACTTGTTTTAAGGTAGTCAGAACTTTCTGTAACTTCCATAATTGTCCTTTTTAGGGAGGATGAATATAACAGTAGAATGTACTGTCTTTATACTACAGTATTGATACCAGATCAGAGTATATCAGACTAATAAGATCCTTTTACCAAACAAAGAAAGAAGGTTTATTTAGGGATGTCTCAAAAAGACATACAAGAAGATTAAACATGGATGGAGGTGGCATGTGCATGCATGTTAATACTTCTTGCTATGTTTAAGTGGACATTAGCTTGTTTCTGAATGTTGGCAGTAAATAACATGTCCAAATGTCAATATTTCTCGACAGGTCGATACTGTGGCGTACCATTTGTCAGTATTGAAGGACTTGTATCCGGACGGGATGAATGTGCTGTCGCTGTTCTCTGGGATTGGAGGTGGCGAAGTGGCCCTGCACAAGCTTGGGATTCGGCTGAAGACCGTGGTCTCCGTTGAGAAGTCTGAAGTCAACAGGAATATCGTGAGGTCCTGGTGGGAGCAGACTAATCAAACCGGGAACCTGATTGACTTCGACGATGTGCAGCTGCTGAATGCAGACCGGCTCGAGAAGCTGATTCATTCCGTGGGCGGGTTTGATCTGGTGATTGGGGGAAGCCCCTGCAACAACTTGGCGGGGAGCAATAGGGTTAGCCGGGATGGGCTTGAGGGTAAAGAGAGCTCACTGTTCTTTGAGTACATCCGGATTTTAGATGCAGTTAAGAATATTATGTCCGGATACCAGTAGTAGTTTGCCCTTGCGCAAACTTAAAATGGGTTTATTAACTTATATGTATTCTTCTTTTTCTGACTTCTATACATTATTGTATTGTGAATTAATAATGGGTTTATAAACTTATATTCTTTTTTCTTATAAAATCACATCATTGGAATGCTTGATATGTATAAAACTATAAAAGCTACTGTTGAAATGTATGTGCTTCAGAAAGGCCCTTATTATATCCGGCTACTTCGTTTTACAGTCTGCTTATTTGTTTAAGGATTAATCAGTATCGCTTGGATGGGTTATGTACTGAACTTGTGTGCAACTCTTTTAGATCAAACTGCCCGAGTTTCACGTAGGGATGGACTCGGGCCGGGTGGCCCGACCCGGAACCGGCCCGGGACCGGTACTGTTCCGGCCCGGCCCGATCCGGTGGCCCGGTCAGTGACCGGTCCGGGTAGGCCCGGCCCGTGGGTTTTCCGGTCCGGGCTCGGGTCACCCAAAACAAGGCCCGACCCGGCCGGGCCCGGGCCCGGTTCGGGTCAAAAACTATTTTTTTTTCTTTTTTTTCAATTTTTTTTTAAGTTTTCGGGTTGGGCTGGGTATTTTGGGCCATTTGGGGTGGTTTGGGGGGTTGGGGGTGGGAGGGGGTTAATTAGGAAGAGGAAAACAAAAAAAAAATATAATGGGCCCGGCCCGGTGGTTACCCGGGCCGGTCCCGGGTCCACCATTTCTGACCCGCCGGCCCGGACCCGGCCCGGACCCGAGTCCATCCCTAGTTTCACGTGACCGTAAGATGATGCATGACGCACCTGAGTTTTTGAACATTGCAATACTCCGAATTTGTTTTTGGATTATGATTGTTTCTTGATTTAAATAATGGTTAAAAGATTGATAAGGATTAATGACTAATATCTTGCCTGAAAATCAATAATGATTAAAAACCTGAAGAAAAACCTTGATATTTGAATCTGACGATCACGAGAAAGATGAATTTTAAAATTACAAGACAAATTAATGAAGAAAAAAGAAAATTTAAATGAAAACAAACGATGTGAAGAATAAAACCGTTGAGGATGGGAGAAGCTTGTGAAAAAGAAATATTAAACAACTAAATTGAAGAAATTGAATTCTTCAAACAAACAAAAGTGGAAAGTCGCCATACTTTAGTAATATAGTTTATTCTCATATGTATTGAGGACGACTGCACTTTTTTTAACAATATGATGTATACAAAGGTGTACAATTTTGTTCACACATTTCAAAATCTACATAGAATATTTTGTATGTTAAATTAGGCATCACATAAAACTATAAAAGTATCCGCTAGAAGGATGTTCAATTTCACAGACAAAAAAAATATTTGACCCAAACAAGAAATGTATAATATGAAAAATGTTCAAAGATTCAAGTCTTCTATTGGTAAGGTCTAGAAAGGTGTGGGGCAGTTAGCTGAATTTTAAAAGGAATACTTATATATACTATTATCGGTGTTGTGAAAAGTGTAAGGATGATTATGGACGGTCAAGGAAAGGAAGTAAAACAATACGCTTAGCATTGATTATGTTATGTTTATTGGTCATACTTTGTTTAGAGTAGTATTGTCATTCGTTCTTTGAATTCGCGGATAACACTCATATAAAGAATTATATACCTCCTAAATTTCTTTTAACGTGTGATTAGGACTTGCAAATAGACAACACGATATACTTCATTTTATTGGCATGGATCGTACTTAGAAATAGCTAGATGTGATAATCTTTCTTTTTATCTGTGTAATGAGAACCGGACTGGATCGGGCGGTCCGACCCAGAACCTGAGCACCCAGTCCCAAAATCAGTCGGTTCGAGTGCAAACCACAAGTTCAACGCATCACTTCATTTAGGATTTAGAGGCCGTTTGGTAACACTATTTTTCGGCTTATCAGGTTTATCAACATACTTTTCACCAAACACGTAACTTTAGTTTTCGCCGCTCAATTTTGTAATAATAAGAAAAAGTAAGGTTGAAATTGTTTTTCTGACTGTATTGGTTGAAGTTACCGTAGATTACCATTTTAACATATAATTTTTTCTTTATTATATTAATAAAATATATTTTAAAAATAATTTTTTCTTAAATCAGTCAAACTAGCCAATGCAACCACTTCAGCCAGAACTTCATAAGTAGATCTAAACATCTAGACATCTAGTTAAGTAGGTAACACGTCAAACTAACTCATCCAATTCATAGTTGTGTAAATAGTTTATTTTTACGATTTTATACTATACTTCCATAAGCTAACACTACGATTTTTCATTATTAATTGGTAATCATAATAATAACTATTCCTGTTACGGAGTATTTGCTAATGCACAATGTTATTATACTAAAAAGGTATAAAAAAAAAGGTGATAATGGTCAAAATAGTACATGAATTTGTTTCAAGTGGAGTAACCTAGTAAGTAGTACTCCATTTTACACTTGAAACTATAAAGTACATGAACTTGCATTTTTATAGTCGATTAAGTACATTTGTCTCGTTAAAACGTTAAAATAACTGACTTGGCAAAACTAACTGTTTGTAATACATCGTTGCAGTCCAAGTCATCAAATAATTAATCTATAAACTCTAATTTCCTTCAGTTCACTCGTTTCCACCTTCGCTCTTCATTTTATATATCTCACATTTGCTCTCCCTTCTCTCGCTCTTCATCTTATATTTTTCTCGTCTCCTCTTCAGGGGCGGAGCCAGAGCACTGGGCCGGATTGAAGCAGTAAAAAGAATATTTTTGGTAAAAAAATTATACATATTTTTTTCTTTAAAATTAAAGCATTTTTTAAATTTGAGGTGGGACAGGGCCTAGGTTGGCCCCCTCTAGCTCCGCCTGTGCTTCTCTCCTTCTCTTTCATCTTCTCTCCCTGCTATCCCGCTGGCTTCTTCTTTTATTTGCTATCGGCCCATTTTTATTATAGCAAGAGAAGAAGAAAATAAAATAGACCAAAAAGAAAAGACCGACGAAATATCAAGGAGAGTAGACGAGAGAAATATAAGATGTTGAGCGAAGAGAAAGGAGAGCACACGAGAAAAATATAAGATGAATAGCGAAGGTGAAAACGAGTGAACTGGAGGAAAATAGAGTTTATAGATTAATTATTTGATGACAAGGATTGCAATTGTACAATACAAATGGATAGTTTAGTCAGATCAGCTATTCTAATGTTCTGACAGAGAAAATGTATTTGATTGACTATAAAAATACAAGTTCATGTACTTTAAAATTTCAAATGCAAGGTGAAGTACTACTTACTCCTGTCGAAACGACTTCATGTACCATTGTGACCATTTTCTCGTAAAAAAACTACTGCATATTTATGAAGTATTCGTTAAATCTATCAATTAGGGATGGACTGGGAGTCTGGGACAGGTCGGCCCTGCCCGAGCACGGCCCGGTCCTGCCACTGTTTAGGCCCGGCCCGGTCGGGCAGTACCGGGATCGGGACTGGGGCCTGAATCGAGTATAGGGTAGGGTGGGCTACGGGTCTATCAAATGGGTGACTGGTCCGGGCCCAATTTTTTTTAATTTTTCGCAATTAATAGGCTGTTAGGCGGGTGGGGCTGGGAACTTTGGGGAGGTTTGGGGGTGGGGCTGGGGTAGGAATAAATAAGAAAAACCAAATTTTAAAAACAAAACTAGACCCGGCTCGGTCCCGGAACCAACATGGGCCGGTACCGGGCCTTCATTTCCCAAACACAGTCCCGCCCAAATCCCGGTCCCGGTCCAACCCTACTATCAATCATAGATTCATAGTTATAATTTTTATATAAATATTATATTCCATATTATCCATTTAATTTCAAATACATCTTGACTTTTATGAAAAACATTTTATATTGATCCACCGTTGACCGGGCTAGCCTTCTTGGGTCCTGGTTGACCCTTGACCGATATCTCTTCACCGGAGGGTCGAACCCTCTGTGGGCTCTGTTGAGGCAAAGAGGTAACTGCCCCAGACCCCAAAAATTTGGTAAAGAATAAGGGCCCATAAATAATTGTATTCTAGTATTATATATATATATATGTACAATTTTTTCTATTTTATTAAAATAACAACAATACAAATAATATCAATCAAAATAATATCATGCAACTATATGAGATTAATTATTTGATGTAGACATCTAAATTAAATTGCTGCTTATAAATCTTAACATCCAAATTTTACATTATTCAAAGGCATTTTACAAAAATTCGACTCGGGCCAAAAAATGTTAGGATCGGCCCTGCTTCAACGTCACCTTCTAGTCTGGTTTTGACAACATAGCTTTTTATTGACATGGATCATACTTGTTATGTTTGTAAGTTTGTAACAACCACATGAAATCAGCTACTCACTTGTTCTTTAATTGCCCATTCACAGGTGCAGTCTCGATGGAAGTTAAAAAATGGCTGAAGGTTAAAAAAAGGTGCAGTCTTGATGAAGTCCTTCCTCACTACTTTTTTTTGGCAAATCCTTCTTCTTCCTCACTACTTGATTATTTTAATTGATTGATCGTGGCGTTGTTTGCTGGAAAGGGGTATACATCTTTATACCGTGTACTTACTTTCTGCATTTTTTTCTTTTGCATTTAATTTCTACATTTATATTATTATCCTTTCATAAAAAAATAAGAAAGCCTTATGGTGGGGTAGGCTTGTCAATGAGTCTAGTCTAGACCCGGACCCGACCGTTTTAAACAGGTATGAGTCTATATTTTATTTTGTTTGCCATGACTCCTTAGTAATTTTAATAAACGGGTCGTCATGTATGATACAATCCGTTAAGGACCCGGAGCTGTTTAAAACTTCTTATTAGTATACACACACATGCCTACTGTATAGTGACACTGATCGACATAGTGACATTTACCCTAATACCAGGGGCGGGGACAGGGGAGGGGCAACCCTGGCCCTGGCCCAACTCAAATTTAAAAAATGCCTTAGTATTTAGTGTAAAAAATTTCGGGCAAAAAAAATTCCAAAAATTCTCTTTGTATCGGCCCAGTCTGGCCCAGTGTCCTAGCTCCGCCCCTGCATAACACCGATACCCAATTTGGCCGTTTATAGATACTGAGCTCGTAGGCAAAGCTCAAAATTTAGCATTATTAATATTATTATACCACTTTTATATATAATGTACTTTTATATTCTTAGTAGTCCAAGAGACCTTCTTGTAACCTAATTTCTAATCTAATCTACGAGCTTTCTGTG